GGCCTTGGATGCTTGACAGGTATTTTAGATAAATACACTGTTGGGAGTTTTTGAAAGCATACATAGCATACAAGAACATTGTTATCATAAAACTTTCATCTAGTAACTGATGGAAGCAGATGCAGAGATATAGTCAAGCACTGGGCCAAGCTTCAGAAGTCAAGTTAAAGAGAGGGAGAATGAATTATATGAGCAATGGGGTCAAGATTTATGATGGAGAAACCCACAGAGACAGCTGATCTGAGCTCATGGGAGCTCATGAACTCTAGACCAACAGCTAGGGAGCATACATGGGACTGACCTAAGCCCTCTGCAGATGGGTGATGGTTGTGTGGCTTGGTCTGCTTGTGGCCTCTAGCTGTGGGACCAAGATCTGTCCCTGGTGCTTGAGCTGCCTTTTTGGAACTTGTTCCGTATGATGGAATGCCTTGCTCAGCTTTGATGCAGTAGGAGGAGCTTGGATCTACCTCAAAGTGATATGCAATGATTTGTTGACTCCCGTGGGAGGCCTTACCCTTTTTGAGGGGTGGATGAGGGGTAGAAAAGAGGTAGGAAGAGGGGATGGGATGAGGGGAGGGAGGGGAAACTATGGTTGGTATGTAAAATGAATAAATATTTAATAAAAAGAGAAGTGTAGATCTGTACTTTAATGATTAATATTTCTGCTAAATGTGACAAACACAGTCACTTATGTTTTATTGCACAAAGAAAACATATCTAATACTGATATTCATACATGGAAACTACAGCTGCTTCTTGGTATTCAATTGGATTGTTATCAGATAAATTTACTCTAAGTTGAAATATCCTAAATTTAAATGGATTCAATATACCCACCCTATTAACAATAATCATTTATCTACACAAAACAATCTATAGAATACCAGTTGTTATTCTTTGTGATCCTGCTTCAGGTGAGATATTCAGGCTGGCTGCCTATCAATACAAGTAAGTATGATATGTGTTTTGACGGTCTAGAAGAAATGAGAATTAAAATTTAGAGTATAGTTTATGAATGTGTATCATTTTGAGTCACTGTAAATTAAAAGGCAAAACATATGAGAAGCAAGAGTTTATAGGTCTAGGCCATTCTTGACAGGGCAACAGGTGCTGTGATCTGGGACTTCCCTTACAAAGTGCCACTGAAATGTAGTGTTTATCCTTCCAAAGGGGTAGAATTCATGGGAATGAGTTCAGAAGGAATGGAAGACATCTCATCTCAACAAACATACAATTTATCAGAAGAGTCATTTTTCCTAAGATCACCATCAGGAATTCCCATTGGCTTGCTCCAAGACTTATGTGAAATTAGCTTACAATATGTGTTATCCTTTTATGAGTATATTTTCTTCTCTACTAAAGAATTTTGTTGTGACAAGGGAATCAATCTTTCTGAGATTTATGTTTAATCACTCGATTAATATTTGGGAATTAGGAGACCAACTGAACATTCATTAGTAGATTAACAGCAAGTAAATATTGAAGATACATATCACATGCATAGGTTTCTCAGTTTTAAGTGACATTTGCATCCAGAAGATATCATATGCAGCAAAATTGTACCCTAAAAGAAACAGAACTTAGGGGAAAATAGGTTTGTATGAATTGCAAATGTATACACCATCACCATCAAAAATACTAAAAAGAACTGAAGGCAGATGAATGAATACAAAACGGGGAATAATAGAGAGGGAGGTTTTAATGGTAAAAGAGATAAGGGAGAGAGTAGAATAGGGAGTATTTATTAAGGTTTTGCAAAATACATAAGAAAACCTACTATTTTATAAGTTCCATATGTGTGTGTGTTCACAAAAATATAGTTTAATTGGAATTACCCTATCTAAAGATAATACTCCTTCCAGAAGCTATAGGTTTCCAAATAAAAAATCTAAAGCCAGGAATGGAACATCTCTCTGGTGATACTTTATTTGTGCTTATCTGGGGATCAGAGGAAAAAGCCAGCCACTATATTAAACATAGAGGTCAGTCAGTGGTAGCACATGCCTTTAATCCTAGCATTCGGGAGGCAGAGATTCATCTAGATCTCTGTGAATTCAAGGCCGCACTGGGAACAGAGCCAGGCATGGTGGCATACACCTTTAATCCCAGTCCTAGTTAACCATAGATGTCTGGAGGTCTGGACAGACAGAAAATAATAGAGCTGGGTGGAAAGAGGAAGTGATGAAACTGGGTGGAGAAAGGAAGTAAGATAGCAGAGCAGAGAAAGTTATATAGGCATGAGTATACAGGAAGCAGCTCTCTCTGGAGGCTGAGGAGTTAGTAAGGTTAGGTTGGCTGTGGCTTGTGCTATTCTTCTGATCTCTCAGTTTTTACCCCAATATCTGGCTCTGTTTTTTTTATTAATAAGACCATTTAGCAATTTGTCTTACACACCTCTCCTTGACATGTTGATCAGCTATGTTCCTGAGATCCTCATACAACACAGACTATTGTCATTGCTCTTAGGTGCCCACACAAACTTGATGTTAAGTCTTATTACTGACACTATGTATTTTAATTACAGGAAATGGGGAAATCAATTTTTTTAACTGAATAGCAAGTGTGCTTTCTGTTAAATAGCTTCCATAGTGCTGAGTATTGTTATACAGGGTACTAGGGGAGAAAAGCCATAAATATTCTTACCCAGTTGTGAATTATAACAATAATAGTAATGCAAGATATTCCTGAGGATGCAATAGTGGCATGTAACTGAAGTTTCCCTGTGTACTGGCCTGCCAGCAGTTGGGACAAATTTCTCCCACTCATGTCCCCCAAGTAAACACAAAGAGACTTATATTACTTATAAACTGTATGTCAGTGGCAGGCTTCTTGCTATCTGTTCTTATATCTTAAATTAACCAATTTCTATAAATCTATACTTTGCCACATGGCTCGTGGCTTACCTGTATCTTACATCATGCTTCTCATCGTGGCGGCTGGCAGCGTCTCCTGACTCAGCCTTCTTCTCCTCAGCCTTCTCCTCTCTCTTGTCCCTCCTACACTATACTTCCTGCCTGGCTACTGGCCAATCAGCATTTTATTTATCAAACAATCATAGTACCATGTAATCACAGCATACAGGACATCCCACAGCAGTGGCACACATATTCTGGGGATAACCACATTTTCAGTTTAAATTGAAGGCCTACTTTATAGGAGAATACACATTTCTAGCACTGTAAATCCGACCCAAAACTCACAGTTGGGGGCTCATATTCTCTAGGGGTGAACTCTACTACTATTATTTATAGACATAGTATCAAAGTGCTTTCTAAATTCATATGTCTGTATCCATAGATTAATACAGCTCTTAGACATCACCAGAAAAGTTTCTTTATTCAGTGGTTACCATAAAAATCATAACTGGCCAAACTAGAGAGACTAAGTGTCATTGCAGTGCTTAGCCAAAGGAGATCTATCCCTTCCCATCGGGGCTGAAGGACCATGACAGAAGACAGGGAAGAAAGACTTTAAAAGGCAGTATTTCAGGGCATGACAGGACCACCACACTCAGGTGCAAACAGGCTTTTCTCTGTCCTGCCCCATTCCACAGCTGTTTCCAGATAATCACTGAGGCTTATAGTAATTATAAATGTTATACCAATGGCTCAGGCTTATTACTAACTAGCTCTTACATTTTAAACTAACCCATTCTTATTAATCTTTTTATTGCCACATTGTCTGTAGCTTACCTGTACTCCAGCGTCCTGCTTCTTGGGCAATTCTCAATGTCTTGACTCTGCCCTTCTTCATCTCCAGTTTGATTATACCACCTAACCTTATTCTACCTGGCAATTGGCCAAACGAGTTTTATTTGTCAACAAATGAGGGCAACACATATTCACAGCATACAGAATGACCATCTCACAGCACTCACAAACTCCTAACATATGTGATTACTTTTAGAAGACCCACACAAGATGAAGCCAGTTACCATTCCAGAATGAAGATGAGGAGGGGTTCAAGTCCCTTACACCATTATATCTGAGAAGGAATTGATAGTTGTTGACTTTTGGGAGATGAAGAACAAGTTTTCTTTTCTTTCTTTCATTTTTTTCACAAGTTGTACTGGCTGGTTTTGTGTGACAACTTGACACAAGCTAGAGTCATCAGAGAGGAAGGAGTCTTAGTTGAAGAAATGCTTCCATGAGATCCAACTATAAGGCATTTTCTTAATTAGTGATCAATGGGGGAGGGCCCAGCCCATGATGGATGGTGACATCCTGAGCTCGTGGTCCTGGGTTCTGTAAGAAAGTAGGCTGAGCAAGCCAGGGGAAGCAAGCCAGTAAGCAGCACCCCTCCATGGCCTTTACATCAGCTCCTAACTCTAGGATCCTGTCCTATTTGAGTTCCTATCCTGACTTCTTTCAGGGGTGAAAAACAATGTGAAAGTATAAACCAAATAAACCCTTTCCTCCACAACTTGCTGTTTGACCATGGTGTTTTGTCACAGCAACAGAAATCCTGAGACAAGTCAAAGGTATCTGTTCATATCTCACTTCTGACCTGTAAGCCAGCCTGATCTACATAGTTAATTCTGTGTAGAGCTATATAGAGAAAATCTGCCTCAAAATTACAATAGCAAACACACACACACACACACACACACACTGTCTGCCACCTCTGATAGGTTGACCATTCTCTGATGATTGACCCTACACCCTACACTGATGGGTATTTATATGGGCAGCACTAACTGGGTTTGTTAGATTACAAAAACCAAACAAAATGAAAAAGGACAAGGTGTTGGGGGAGTGTGGGGGCAATGGAGAATATCTTAGATAATATGTAGAAGAGTGGGAGAATATATTAGAGAGTTAGGGAGAAGAGGAGAAGGCCACTATGAACAAAATATATGTGTGTATGAAATCCCAAGAATTAGTAAAAACATTATATTTAAAAAAGACAGCAGTTTTTCAATTATTAGAAAAATACTAAAACACACGCAATATTTCTTACCTGAAACTAGAGTGATAGATAGAATGTGTAGAAATGTTTACCTTGTTGAATTTGCAGATAAAAACAATAGGCATGAAGATTTAAGACAAGGCCACATGAATGCTTCTAAGTGGGTCAATGTCAAGCCAAGAAGAGGGGACAATATGGGGGACCAGGCATCTTGAATATCACTCTAGACATCTGTGCTTGCTTACTTCCTCTTGATTTGAGAGTTGTGTGATCTGCAGCTCTTTTCTGATGGCTGTAAACATGAAAGGGGTGGGAAACCACTTAGGAAGCTCTGTTAACTTCTTTCTTATACCTATTTCATTCTCCCTTTACCATTTGTATGTGAGCTAATTTGCATTATAGTGGCAGATTGTACATTCAGTAACATGGATGGATGTTAAAAACATAATGTGGAGATGATAAGGTAAGAAACAGCAGGGGATATATTGCACACAACTATTTATGTAAATTAAAAACATAAACATGGCACTACATATTTTACAAGGATACACATGTATTTAAGGGCCTTTTCCAAGCACAGCAGAGATAGTAGGTGTCTATGGGGAGGAAGAGGAATTGCAATTTGCACACAGACAAGAGTAAACACTACACAAAGCTAAACAAGAGAAAAGAAAGACGTCTCCCAAGTATTGATGAACATAGCATGCTGCATACAACAGAGCATAATTAAGTCAGCCTCTGTGGATAAGAACAGTGGTTTCTTGTTCCTGATGAGGTATTAGGGAAGATGGCTTATGCGTCCTCACTAACCTACTCCCCTGCTAGTTTAGGATCTCACTAATGACAATTCCTATTCCATGCAGACCAGTTAAAAATTCCATTGTCTCAAATCCTGCTTGGGTTAACTTTGGTCTCTGGGCTGCCATCACTGGGTTCTGGGTCTCCCACTGGAGGAAATCATACCATGGCAGAATCTAAAATTTAATTTAAGAACTGATTTTGGAATGTCTAGTTTGGGAGTCATATGAGCTGTCATTGGGAATAAGAAGCTCTCTCTAATTGGAGGTTTTTACAACAGTACCACCCCCACCCTCTATCCTTACACCTGGATCTGCAGTCTTTCTAGCCTATGTCAGCAGTTAGTGATGCTAGAATCATGGGACAGCTACAGTCTTCCCAGAGCTACTGAATGCAGCAGAGCCACTATGAATCTTGGGAGTCATTCACATGGACTAGAAAGATGGCTGCTACTCCTTAAGTTCCCAGTCTCCTTCTTGCTCTGTAATGACTTATCATCTCTTCTTTGCCAGTATCTTTTCCTTCTCAGATCAGATCATGGATCAGCCCATTTCCCTTAGAGTGAAAATCATTCCCCATTTCAGAGCCTTCCTACCCAAGCAGTGGCTCACTGTATTTCTGCTTTGTTGGTAAATTTCTACAGGAACGTTCTCCATCTCCTGTGTTACCCCCAATACAACATGACAAATGCTGCTCACTTTTTCCACTGTGGTATCCCTGACATCTTTCTAGTGTATTACTTTGTTCTGTGGCATAACTAAGACTAAGTGAATAAATAAAAAAAATCTCTTAGCTTCCAAAGTTGTTCACTATCTAGCATGTCATAGTCAGCAGTCTGCTAAAATGCAGAAATTTCCCAATTTAATAGAATAGATCTACTAGTTAGAAAATCATATGCTGATTTTTGGGTTACATTATTATTTTTTTCATCTTATCACTAGACCTAGTATTTATCTCATTTCTTCAAAAATTAGTTTCCTTTAAATTCTGAGACATCAGCATGCTCTGATTCTTCCACTAGCATTCATGCAATTCTTTATGCTCCTTTTTGGGTCTTCTCCCTTCACTGATAACCTTAAATATTAATGAGCCTTTATTTTTAATATATTTAGACATATTTAATCTGCTTTGTGTGTATAAGTGTTACATCTGCATGTATGTATGTGTATCATGCATGCCTGGTTCCCATGAAGGTCAGAAGATGTCATCAGATTTCCCAAACTGGATTTACAGGGAGTTGTAAGACATCATATGGGTGCTGGGAACCAATCTCAGGCAATCTGCAAAATAAACAAATGCCATTAACTACTGAGCCATTTCCCCAGCCCAAATCCTTTACCAATTCTTCAGGTTGTTGACTTACTGGTTCCTTAGGGATACACAGCCGTGTCTACCGAGATGCAGAACTAAACTTCTAGACTAGAAGACACTTGTTTTCTTTAGTGTTTCACTGCTACTTCAACATATTTACAACTTTCAGTAGCCACTTTAAAATTTCTAACATGTGATCATCATGCATTTTATAGGCATTTTATCATTTTTGTGATAAATATGTATTTACTGTGTTATGATAAATATCTCATATTTAGTGCATTTTATCATATGTGAACACTTTGTCCTGATCAGATGAGAGCATTTAGCATTTCCATCTCCTTATTTCCTCATGTTTGGAGCCTGTCAGCTCCTCTCTCCTTTTCTTCATAGTAAAGTTGCTGTGAACTAAGATTTTCACAGTTATACTCATTGCTCCCCACCCCCTCAAGTAGAATTATTTGTCATTTTCCCTAAATTCTCCCATTTGATGGTCTTACTGTATACACAATCTCTTAGTCTGGATACACCAATCTTTGCTCACTCCTGGCCTTCCTTTGTCTCACACTTTAACTGTTTGAGACCTGTCATTCAAGCATGGTCTCTACTCTCCATCCCCACTGTGGACATGTCTACAGTGTTTCAGCATTTACAACCAAAGTGACATTTTTTTTTCTTTGAACCACTACTGAAATCATCTCCCCAACTGCAAATAGAATCCTTCACCCAAATCCCATTTTCTACAGATTGCTATATTACAAAGTTCAAACTGGCTAACAAAGGATTTAAAATCACATGCTCATTGTACAAACTCATTTTCTGTCTTTCCTCAATGCTTTTTAATTTTCAGCACCATCGTTCATACAGATAGTTTTGCATAGAATTCTTTACTGGGTATAGTCTGTGATTTGGAAGGGTTTCTTCCAACAGAAAATTAAGAGTTGTGTGATTATTACTGAAAAAAAGATGTTTCTTTTATCTTTTTCCATCATCTCAAGTTTCAGCTCTGAGTCAAGGTCCTGGCACCAATTTTTAAAAAAAATAACTCTTAATATGATTTTCCTGTAGCCTGTCTTAGTAGCTGGAGAACCTGTCACTTATCTCGTTATACACCCATCTTGCCTCTTCTTTATCCATCCATCTTTATCTATCATAGAGCCTATATAGTTTGATACTGTATAATAACATTTAAATATATAGAATGCAGGATTTTATACTTCATTGAAATTAATTACCATGAAATTATTGGAAAGAGTTGATTTTTAATACTATTTATTAACCTTCACCTTTCGAAGAATTGTTTCAAATTAGTATATTTAGTATCTTGGGCCTATGGACTTGTATTAATTTTTCCTGTTGGTAGCTACAAGGTCAGTATACTTAGAACTTCATAACTTATAGCCAGGAAGACTGATGCTCTATTGAAATTCTTGTACATTGTATTCTCTAGGAGTCCCAAGCTTATCACAGGCATTTCAGGAACTGAAATATGTATGCTGGCATAGTAGTTACATTTAGGCCAGAGGTGCTCAACCTGTGGGTCATGACTCTTTTGTGTGTGTGTGGGGGGGTGTCAAATGACCCTTTCACAGGGGTCTCATATCTCATATCAGATATTCTGCATATGAGATATTTACATTATTGAGGGTATCCCCTGCATGTGTCATATAGGAAAGCAACCCATTTGAAGAGATAAGAATGAAAACCCAGTGAAGCTTGACTTTGTCAACCTGGCTCAGAATTGGGGGAATCTAATGCCAGGTGGTTCATTGTCAGCATAAAACATGGTACAATTTGGGAAAAGGTTTCTAGGCAACCATCAGTTCAATCAGTCCAATTTCAGATACACAATAAAGTTTAAAGTGTGAATACATAGAGACTCTTCTACAAAGTACATGTGACCATCAGAGTTGGTTCTATAGCTAAAAGGCCTAGAATCTAGTGTGGTCTCTGACTGCATAGAGGTCAGTAGGCCATAAAGTACATGTGACATCTCCCCTAAGAATGAGTGATGGTCTGGGGGGGGGAAGAGTTTGGAATAACCATTCTGGGGAGTTGGGGTGAGGTCTGTCCCTTCAGATAGCAAAAAGGTCACCAGGTTATTAACAACCTTCACTCTAGCTCTCTGGATGGAATGCAGGTATTTGATTTGCATCTCCTCCATTGAGGAGGCATCCTGGCATGATTTACATTCCTGATTATCTTAGTGCTTCTTTGTGAGCATAAGGACCTCTGCGTTCCCAACACATTATGATTCATAATAGTAGCAAAATTACAGTTATGAAAGAGCAACAATAATTTTATGGTGGGGGGTCACCACAACATGAAGAACTGTATCAAAGAGTTGCAGCATTAGGATGGATGAGAACCATTCTTTTACAGTTTAATGACTAGAAAGGTATGACCTGTACACTTTGGAAAATATATTAAATGGACAGGTTATTCCCACTGAGCAAACTTAGGTCAAAACTCTGTAAGACATCATTCTTTTTCAGTGTTCCCCATCACTCGACATTCTTATTAGAGAATGTTGTCAGAAATGATCCCACAATGATGTACTAAGGTGTTTCTGAATTTATATTTTATTACTCAGTTAAACAAATTTTTATTCAACAAATTGTCAAATGGGTATAATAGTGAATGTTGAGAATATTTTTAGGCATCACTGACTGGTCAGAAAAGCTAGGAACACTGCTTTTAAGCAAAAAAATTAAGGATTGGGGAGATAGCTTCATGGGTAAAAGATTTGATAGTCAAGCATGAAGATCTGAGTTTAGATCCCCAGCACCATGTGAAAAACTGGTCACATTAGTTTATATCTGTACCACAGCACTGGAGAGGTAAAAATGGGCATATCCTTAGGGTCACTAGATATTCAGTCTTGCCAGTTGGTGAATTCCATATTCAATCTCAAAAAATATGGTGGGAGGCAATTGAGGAAGACATGCAACATTAACTTCTGATGTGCAAGAAAGACAATTGAGGAAGACATGCAACATTGACTTCTGATGTGCAGGGGCATATACACACATGCACACAGCATGAACAGACTTGTATATAACAAATATGTAGACAAATAGAATGTTAATAGGATTCTTAATACAAATGCATTTCAGAGTACTCATTCTTTTTGAGATAGATGTGAAGTTACATCCTTCATGGAGACTAATACTTCCTAGATTTCTATGAAAATAATAATATTACATCAATAACTTACACAAGAGGGTATAACCAGAGCTAATTTTTTAAATGATGCTTGTCCTAAGGCATTTTTGAGCTGTATTCACTACATTGTTTTGAAGAAATAGTCTTTCAGTAAAGAAAATTATAATTAAAATATAAGCAATGTTTTCCAGAAAAATTAATGAAAAATTATATTCTTCTGAATAAATTCTAACCATTTTATGCCAAAGTATTACCTTGATCTCAGAGAAGAATGAAAATAGTTAGCAGTTCTTTTGTTATATTATTTACATTGCATTCTGTTTATGTATCACAGAGATGTATCTTTGATTTGTGATTGCACTGTGCAAGAGTCAGGGAAATCTTTCCAAGCCATGGATATCTCTCTGAGAGCTATTTTGTGCTGGACTTTATGTCCCAAACTACAGTGTTGAGAAGGAACCTAAACTCCAGGCAAAGGCTTTGATCATTGCCTCTCATTCTCCCAAGCCCAGCAAGGCATAGTCCAAACCATGTGTTGCCTGCATGGCACTGTTAATTACTTCTATTAACTTAATGGCTAGAGTACCCTGGAATAATACATTTTAAAGTTGTGAACTAAAAATGGTAATATATTAGCTTTGGTGCTGTCAGAGTGAAATCTCCCTATCAAAATTTCAAGAGTTGGAAGATTAATTATATTTATACAACCTTTTTTTTCCCTCTTAACCAGTCACTAACAAATTGTGACTATACATGGGGTCTTATTTGTGAAATAATTTGGGGTTATTATCTCAAATGAAGTGCTGCTAATTTTGTTGTTGTAGTAATGTGCTGACTACAATACTTCCACTCTATCTCTCAGGGTTGGGATTACCTTAAAATCTTTTGAAAATAAAACCAAACATTGTTTAACTTTTAGAATAACCTTTACAGAGCTAACGAGATTCCTAATGAATAACCCACTGCATTGTATTTTGTTGGACTTTATAAAAACAAATCAGAGTTAATTGACATTATGATGGGGACTAACAGAACTACTTCAGTGGGGGTATTTTTTCATTCCTTTTTCTTTGTTTCATAATTAAAGTTAGGCCATAGTTTTCAGTGTAATCCCTAGCATCTCTCCCAGAGCTTGGCCAGACGAGGCAGTCCCTTGCTAAGGAAAAGGTTCTCATTTGGGCAATTGACTAAACTTGACTGCAGTGGTATCAATTGTAGGTATATTATTGTATTCATTTTACTAAAGGGCACGTCACTTTTTCTCCTCAAGGAATTTTTAGCAAGTGGTTAAAAATAACCTTTCAGAAAGGTTATATTACTGCCGAGGCCTAGCCAAACCTTTTGGATGGAAATCTACATCCATCATACTCAGATCTGTCAAACTAAGTCTAGTGAGTAGTTCAGTAGACATAAGGTTGAATTCAAATGTCACTGTGCCATGTTTCATGAAAAACCAGCTGGCCAAAGTGACCTTTACGTGCCAACATTCCATTTTGTAGTTTGAAAGGTAAGAAAAAGCTGGTCTGCAAAACTATGCAGCTTCAGGACCACTGGAGAGAGCCAAGACTGATTCAAATTCAAATTCTGAAATGGTCAGCTTTGGCCAAAGATGAACACAAATCTAATCACTTTGTAATTTTCATTCAGGTATTAACCAAAAAGTTTCTTTTAGCACTGAATAATGTATACTCACAGTCAAGAAAATATTGGTTTATCCATGATAGAAAAAGTCCTGTTTACTCAGCACACATTCCTTTTAAAGATACTTCTCTTCCTGTGATTATTAACTTTCCCATAGTTATCATCTAACCTTGGAAAAATCACAAAACAAAATCAGCAATTAGTCATTAAAGGCAAGTAGCAATGAGGGAAGTTCACTCATGTGAGAAGGAAATCACCATAATGCAGGATATTGCTTGCAATGGAATCAAAAGAATTAGTTGAAACATTTTTCAGAGAACACATGAAAAAATAGTATTGCCACTCAATGAACTTTCCTGCACATTGTGTGCATGGTTATTTATAGGTAACTCCAAATGTCTGAACCACAAACTAAAGATTCCTTTAACTAGCCACTCTACCTAGAAAGGTTGAATCATTTTTTAAAATAATTCAATTTTTATTGAAAACACATTGTTTCATGATATATTCTGATCATGGTTTCCCCTCCTCCTACTTTCCTCAGATCACTCCACCTCCCTACACACCAAAATCCATACCCTTTCTTTTTCTCTCATCAGAAACCAGACAGTTAAAACAAACAAAACAACAAAAACAAAAGCAGAATAAAATAAAGCATACAGAGGGAAAACAAGAACCAAAAAAGAAAAAAAAAAACACAAGAAACACTTACAGATGAAGTGACACATTTGGACACTCAGAAATCCCATAAAAACACAAAATAGGAAAACCACAACATATAAGCCAAGTTAAAAAGTGCCCAGCAAATCATTATAAGACAAAATCCCCCTCAAGAGTACCATAGAGTTCCTTTTCTTCAGAGAACTAATTTTTCCTTTGTAAGAGGTTGTCATTAGAGATAGTTCCTGGTTAGGGATAGTGATATATATGCACTTCCTTTCTCAATGCTGGGACCCCCATCTGAATTATGACCATTAAAGCCCTATGTATGCTGTCATAATCTCTGTGAGTTCAGATGAGCATTGACCCTGTAGCGTCTAGAAGGTCTTGTTTCCTTGGTGTCTTTCATCCCCCCTGGCTCTTACAATATTAGGCTGAAACATTTTGAAGTAAGGCTTCACATACATGTCTAGCTGCCATTTTATTCTACTTTCTTATGCAATGAGTAGATCTAGATGAAATATTGCATCTGCATTTATTTTCTGCCTCATTTAGAACATTGGTGAGAACACATTAGCAGTTCCTATTCATGGTGTATAAACCCCTGCCCCCAAGCTTGTATTGTTGAATTCTAGTTGGCATCTGAATGGTAGGGTCATGCTGCCAAGAGTGCTGATTCCTTTGGTTCCCTACTCTTACTTCTTTATCCTGTTTTTAAGTAATTAATCAGCTTTTTGGCTTATTTTACTTTCTATATGCTTATAATTACCTGAAGTATAACTCAATTATACTACTGTTTTTGTGAAGACTAAATTTCTTTTTACTATATATATCAACTACAGTATTGTCTTATTCAGTGTTCTATTGCCGTGAGGAGGCACCATGACCAAGTCAACAATTATAAAAGAAAACATCTCATTGGGACTTGCTTACAGTTACAGAGGTTTACTCCTATTATAATCATATCAAGGAGCATGGAAGCATGCAAACAGATATGGCGCTGGAGAAGTAGCTGAGAGATCTACATTCAGATCCCCAGGCAGCAAGAGGAGAGAGGTACTGTGCCTGGCTTAGGCTTCCATTTTGTGGGGAGGGGTTTGAGACAAGGTTTCTCTGTGTAGCTTTGCACCTTTCCTGGAACTCACTCTGTAGCCCAGGCTGATCTCAAACTCACAGAGAT